GCCATACAGGTCTTCAATGCCAAGGTGTTAGCACAGATGTTATATGGTGCACAGTGGTGTAGATACAGAACTTTTACTGCAATTGAGTCAACTCAAATGAAATTTCTGAGAACTATTCTTGGACTCCTGAGTTGTGTGCCAAATGTACTTTTATGATTAGAAACAGGCCAGATGTTGATAGAGTCTTGGGCATGGATACTTAAGTTAAATTTTTGGTTTAAAATGTTCTTCATCCCTGTAAGGTTGGCTCCCTTAGTGCTAACTGATAAGTTTCAGTCCAGATGGGAAAGCTCTATGGATGCGAAATTAAATAATCTGGGCCTCTCAAGAAGTGCTATTTTGTTAATGGGCTATACAAAAGCAAAACAGGAACTACACCAGCGCATCACAGACAATGAGCTGCAACACCATGTCGGCATAGCTATGGTCCATCCTTGCTTTAGAGATTATGGTCAGGCATTTTTACCTGCAAGCTATTTGAATATTCTGACCCTTCCAAAATATAGAAAAGCTTTTACTTAGCAAAGCTTAATGTACTTCCTTCCGTCCTGCTGGAAGACAGATTCAAGAATATTCCCTATGAAGGGCGCTTATGTCTGCATGAGGCTGGTGTGGTGGAGATGGTTGGCCATGTTCTGTTGTATTGCTGTTTCTACACTGGTTTCTGTGACACTTTTATTCATCCAATTTTGCAAATCAGTAATGATTAAAGTGGCCAGTTTTTGTGCAGCAGCACTAGTCTGCAGGCGAGAAATGGTGCTTTAATCCTCTAGATATATACATGTATGGATGCATATATGAATAAGTATGCATTGGGGGTGGGGTTATGCTCCTAACAATTCTTTATGGAATTTGTCTCCCTAAGAGTCTGCCACACATAATGTATATTATAGTTGTATTGATTCTGTTTATTCTTATGCAGTTGTTCTGTGTTATTCACATCTGATCTGTTGATCGCACAAATAAAATTTAATTTAATGATTTGTCCCACCCACTTTTTTAAAAAAACAATCCAGGTTACAGAGGTGAAATAGTCATCCTCAAGAACACATTTTTCAAAAGACAAATACAACCAGTTTGTGGTAAGCCTGAGCAGATGTGTAACAGGCTTACTGGCAAGAGTATTGTAAAACAGATAGATTGTTGTAGCTTCATGGACCAGGAAAAGAGATGTTTTGAGGGCAATGAAAAAAGAGGCTTACTTTAAAGAAAATAATGGAGTGACAGTACTCCAGAAAGGCACATTTTGCCATGTACCTCTAGGGAAATACCATACAATTTTGTAAGCCATATTCAAAGTATTTTTGCCTTACAAAAGCACAGATCAGTAATGTTTGTCCCAGCCCTGCTTGCTTTCAGTAAACATTCTCTCAGACTTTCTACAAGGACTCAATTAGCTGATTCTCAGTTTTAATTCCTTCCTGGCCAAACAGACAGACAATTACCATTTTACAAGTACGAACAATATTCTTTCCCCAGTGCTGAGAGATCCAGCAACATAGATACCTATCCAGTTCCTGGCATAGGTTATCTACCAAGGTGACCAAAGCTGCCTCAGTCCCATAACCAGGCTTGAAGCCAAATTGAAATGGATGTAAATAATCTGACTCACTCAGAAACCTCTGGAGCTGAGAGGCCATAACCCGCTCTAGCATCTTCCTCAAGAAATATAGAAACCTCTGGAGCTGAGAGGCCATAACCCCCAAGAAAGAGATATAAGATACTGAGCAGTAATTATTCAGTATTATAGGGTCCACCATAACCCGCTCTAGCATCTTCCTCAAGAAATATAAGATACTGATCAGTAATTATTCAGTATTATGGGGTCCAAAGAAGGCTTATTTAACAATGGTCTTACTATCGCCTCCTTTAAGCATGATGGGATCCTACCTTGATGAAGGGAGGCATTCACCACTCCTATTGACCTGTCCCTTTCTGGCAGCTTTTATGAGCCAGGAAGGGCAAGGATACAGCAGACACGTGTTACCCCTCAGCTCCCCAAGGGTCCTGACCACATCATCAGGCTGTAGAAAATGAAATTCATCTATTAACATAGGGCAAGCGGGGACCAGAGTTTCATTCACAGGACCTGAAATAACTACAGCATCCAAGTCAGAGTGGATCTGAGCAATTTTGCCTGCGAAGTGTTGCATAAATTCTTCACAGTGAGCTACCGTGTGTCTGTATTTTCTTCCTAGGGACTAGCATCCAACAGGCCCTTGACCATTTGACAAAACTCTACTGAGTGATCCCATGCAGATGCAATGGTAGCAGAGAAGAATTACTTTTTTTGCCACTTCCACTGCCATGGAATAGGCCTTCTAATGGCCCTTGCTGGTTTTTGATCAGATTCACTCTGAGTTTTCTGCCATCATTGCTCAAATCTACTGCCCACTTGTTTCACCTTCACAAGTTCCCCAGTAAACCACTCTACTTTAAGGGAAGAGATGCTAAGGAGCCATCATGTCAATGGCATTTGCCATTTCTACATTCCAGAGATCAACCAGGGATTCAATAGAATCACCTGTCCAGGTGACAGGAAACTCCCCAAGGGCAGCCTTGAAACAACTCTGCTGAGTGGACAGCTGAAGATGAAATAGTGTAGGCAGAATAGGATAATTTTTTTGCCCTTCCGGACTCCAGTATAGGGGGGAAAAAAAAACCTTAGGAAGGATTTTAAATGCCTTTCTCTCACCTGGTACATTGAACCCCCAGCATCATACTTCCCTTTCCCCAACACAGCACTAAATACTACTCCTTTTCCCAACCTCTGCAGATTTCCACATTGACCAATGCACACCAGAGGGATAGTGTCTAGTAAGGCCAATGGCAAGGTGTAAAGTATAGCAGAACAGAATAAAAATATTCCTCAAAGGGATAATATTGAGTCATTGAAATCTCTGAAATGCTTATGTGCTACAGCAAGAAGAGTCTGACTGCACTAAGTAACCAGCACTTAGGGGTGCTATTTTGAAGGATATTCAACCAATCTCACCCTTTTCAATCCGTGCTCACCTCCCATGATTTCCCCCTCTGAATCCTGCCTCTCAGCCAGGGACTCTGAAGCAATTTCCAAGAAACAGAACCCACACTCCTCCTTTCAGGTACTTGTTTCTTACATATGATCTGTGTCTCTAGTTGCTTCACCATAAATGAAGGAAGTAGAACTCATACCTTTGTGGTTCCCGAAAAGAGATGATCCCCTTTAATTTGGCCAATGGTATGTTGTATGCTTAATATCAGTGGTGTCCAACCTTGGCCCTCCAGATGTTCTTGGATATATGCTCAACCACCAAAAAAAAAGTAAATATGATGGGATTGGTTGGAAGAACAGCTAGTCCGTACCTGTGATGTTTCAAAGCAGCCAGCTTGGCCTCAATTCAGTGGGGAAGTAAAAAATCTCCATGGGATTAGAGGCAAGGTAGGAAGAAAATGTCTTTCCCCTCTAATTGTCCTAACTGTCAGCATGTACTCAACCTAGAAATAATGGCATGACATATAGGCTATGGAGTACCGGAAGAAGACAGAGTTTACACCAAAGAATAGACTCAGCAAATGAATATGATGTAGATGCCAGCCTGTGTGGCATAGTTCAAAGGGATTCCAAATACTGTGGAAAGCTTAGTAGCACTACAAAAGAGATAGTTAAGTTTAGGGTGGATGTGCCAGAGGGGTGCCTGCAAGCACCTGGGAAGTGTGCAACTCATCACTCAAGTGGTAGCGAGAAGGGACACCTCCCTGAGTATATTGCACTCCCCTCCTGCTTCAACTGATAGAACTCGTTCTGCCAGTGGAACAATGCTGTTTGATACAATCAAGTGTCATCTTTATGAAAAACTTCAGTCAATCCCAAAAGCAGTCCCAAGTGTCTTGCTTAACAGTATTAAATGTTTTTTAATTCGATCCAATTACCCAATGATCACTCTGTGTGGGTGATGAACCGTTTAAAGGGCTCTTAGTGACTACTGTAAACAGAGTTTGTGGCTGAAGCCTTCAGAAGAGTTTCTGGAGAAAAAGAAAAAGGTGAGGCATGAAGATAGGCATTTTTCTGGAGAAAAAGAAAAAGGTGAGGCATAGGCATGGGGTGGCAATGGCAAAGGGGATGCCAGGGCAATGTCAGTGTTACCTTGGAACTGGGGTTGAATCTTTTTCTCCTTTTCTTTCATTTGAGATGGTGCATAACACTATTACAACACTACTTATAATGTTTCTAATACTTCCATCAGTGGTTTCATATCAGGGCATTTTTGGTACAGAAATGGGTCAGGAGAGGTAGTTCTGGCTCCTCTCCACTTGTAAATGTGGAATTTTAAATTGTACCCCCTTTCTCACGTGCAAATTTTCTAAACAACCAGTGCAAATTCTTGGAGGTGCTACATAGAAACAGGTAGCTTAATAATAGCTGTGTACTGTCAGATCAATTCTGACTTATGGAGACCCCGTTCAGGGTTTTCTAGGGAGAGAGCACTCAAAAATGGTTTACCATTCCATGTATTTGCAAAGGCTTTTACGGCCGGGATCTAATGGTTGTTGTGGGTATAACAACTGTTTTTTATCCTCCTTTTCCCCCCCTATCTGTTTTGGCTCTGTATCCGTCTAGTATCAGTAATGGACTGGATGAGGCTGAATGAACTGAAACTTAATGCAGACAAGACAGAGGTGCTCCTGGTCTGTTGAAAGGCAGTTCAAGGAACAGGGATGTAGCCAGTGCTGGATGGGGCTATAATCCTTCTGAAACCTCAGGTGCACAATTTGGGGATGCTCCTGGACTCATATCTGAGTTTGGATGCCCAGGTCTTGATGGTGGCCAGTACTGCATCTTCACAATTAAAACTAGTTCACCAGTTGTGCATGTGCTTGGAGAAATCTGTTTGGGTCACAGTGCAACACCTGGTTTAGTTACACCCTGGCTGGATTACTGTAATGCACTCTAAGTGGGGCTGCCTACGGAGTGTGTAAGGAAACTTCAGCAGGTCCAAAACACAGCAGTCAGATTGATAATGGGGCCTGGTTACAGGAAGCACATTATTCTCCTTTTACAGCAGATCTTTTTACAGCAGATCCTTTTCCAGGGTGAATTCAAGGTGTTGGTGCTAACCAATAAAGCCTTAAATGGCTTGGGTCCAAAGCTCTCTAAAGAACCATCTCACGCTTTATTAGCCCACCTAGGTGTTAAGATCTTCAGGAGAGGCCTTTTTCAGTTCAACTACCCTTACAGGTATGTTCAATGGGGACACAGGAGAGAGCTTACTTCATAGCTGGCCCCAGACTTTGGAACTTCCTCTGACAAGAGGCTAAACTGGCCCCATCTTTACTATCCTTCCACAAGACAGTGGCTCTCTCGCTGGGCATTTTTAAGAGCAAACTTAAGACCTGGCTCTTCAGGCAGGTGTTTACTCCTGTCATTACCTAATTTAATTTTGCCATCTTGAATCATACTATGTTGTTGTTTTATTTTATACTGTTATTGTTTTATAATGTGTTGTTAGCCACCCAGAGTAGACATTGCTCTAGATGGGTAGGGTATAAATAAATAAATAAATAAATAAATAAATAAATAAATAAATAAATAAATAAATAAATAAATGTATATGCAAAGGGAATGCTGCTTGCTCAACTTGATAAATTATGTATTTTGTTTTTCCAGATTAAAAGTGGATGGAAATAAAGAAGAAACCATGGCCTGGTCTACTCATGTGCCGATAACCTGGATTGGTTTTATATACAGGGACGAGCATCTGAATTATATGAATATATTTTTGCTATTGTTTCTTCTGTTTCTGATCTCGTCCTATTTAGGGATAATGATTCTGACATTTCTATCCTATGTAATTGTCGTTGTTGTCTACATATACAAGAAAATGCATGATGTACCAGAAGATATACTAAGCAATTCATGGCATGAACTAAGGCACTTTATTGCAAGTTTTTTGGTTAAATTGGGAAATATGATGCATGGTAAGGAAATGTTTTCTTCTTAATTATGTACAAAGCCCTCAGCATCTAGAATCGTAATGCTTATGGGAAGGTACTTGGAATGATGCATTAGGACTGGAATTCCTGATGAACAACTAGATCTGCTAAGATTAGGGGAAACAGTGTCTCTCTTTGCCATTTTCCCTTTTGTAAAGGTAAGGGCTTAAGCCCTCTGTTTTCTGTAGAACAAGGTCTGCAAGCACAGTAATGATTCCCAAGCTTCCAATGCTACTTTTGTTTCTCCAATGTACACACTGTGCTACTAATATAGCATGAGACTGGACAATAAGACAACATTGGAATGCTCAATTGCTCTCAGAAAGAAGGAGATCGGTTTGTCATCTGAATCTGTCTGGCACAGAACAGCCTCTAGAAGTAGGTAAGTTTGAACCTGATCAATAGGGAGTTCATGAGGTATGCCATCTAGAGATGGGGTTATTCGTATTCTTATATGAATACAAATATCACCCCACAGGTGGAAATAATGAGACTTATTTCCCCATTGCTACTCCTGGTAGGAAGTGGGATGACAAGCCTCTCTGCCAGGTCACAGATGGCTAATCCATTGTAGACAATGGCGCAATAGGAAGGCTCCATTGAGCTCACGTCAGCAGCAGAATAGTGGGTGGACAGTCTAACCTCATGGGGCCGGACCCTTGTTATTTCCACCTGTGGAGGGATATTTGTATTCGTATATGAATACCACCATCTCTGATTTCATCATATATGTCCCCCTGTAATGCCTTCCTAGTCACTGCTGAGACCTCCATATTTCTGCTTCCTTAGCCTAAAAAGAACAGAAGTGGGCTCTCTTTTTTAATATTTATTAAAAAGAATTTTAAAATTAATTTCAATATTTCTGTTAGCAGGAGGCAGACATCAGTATCCTTAGGAGTCAGAAGTTTCTTAGGAGTCAACAAACATTTGAAGACCAGGAAATATTTAGATTTGGTTCAAATACTTGCTTTGGGTGGGACAGGAAGAGCCATGTATTTAAATCTTTGGGCTTTTTTAACTCACAAAACCCAGTTTGGTGTAACTCAGCTGCCTGGTGCATCTTGCCTTATTGAATGAATGTTTCACTTTCTCAGGTGTGGGATTGCAGAAGGAGCATCCTTAGGAATAAAAAGAAGTATTTCACTACAAAAATCCATAGACAGAAGGCAAAACATGTAGTTCTTATTCCACTCAATTGTTTTGCAGGAAAAAAAGCTTCCTGCTGTTTTATGTATATTTAGGCAGTGCCTGAAGTCTTAGCTGAAAAATTATTAAAATGTGGTGTCATATTTTGGGGACTTATAGATCTAAAGATGTAGAGTGACCCATCTATTTCAGCATTGTGGAATATATACACCATATGCAGCCATACTAAATGGAACTATTACTACCTGTAAGAGTGTCAGGCCACAACCATCAATGTTATATATGTCCAGACTAGAGATGGGGATATTTGTATACAAATATGAATATCTCTGTACAGATGGTGTTAATGAGGCTCCAGCCCCATGGGGCCGATTGGTCCACTCACCGATCTGCTGTGGATGCAGATGACACGATTCTACCAATGGCTAGGCAGTGCACGATCCAATAGCCACTCCCGGCAGGAGGTGAGAGGACAAGTCTCATTGCAAGGTCGAAGAGTGGCAAGTGGATTGTGTGCCGCAGAGCCATTGGCAGAATTGTACCATCCACGTCCATGTCAGATTGGTCAGTGGACCATCTGGTCCCATGGGGCTGGACCCTCATTAACGCCACCTGTGTGGGGATATTCGTATTCGTATACGAATACCCCCATCTCTAATCCATACCTATGTTGTTTAACATCAAGCTGATTTTTTTTAATTGAGGGGACCTAGTGGCCATTAAAGAACACTGTGTCCATCTTCATACATTAATACAACAAATACATTTAAGATTCCCGAGGAAAAAGTGCCAACCTTATCCTCTACAGATACCCATATACAATCAAAATAAAGGTCAGTGTTAGAGCACTAACTTTCCACAATGAACTGGACTGCACTTTCCAGTGTCACAGATAGGAGGGCCATCAGCCCTGTATTTTATAACTGCCCCTTGTATTTTACCTTCATTGAATGTGACAAGTTAAAGACATTATCTTCCCTCCCCGCCCATGCATGTGTTGAGAGAGGAGAGAGAGAGAGAGAGAGAGAGAGAGATGAGACCAAAGGGCTCTTTAAAAGTTCTTTCAGGTAAAATTCCACCCATTTTTTCTTTACATAGAAGTAAAATTTTGGATTCAATGGACAGAATCCTCTTCCAGAGCTCTGTATGCACAATGGTGATGATGGCGCCAGTAGCAGCAAACTGCCATTGGAGATTTCAGGATGTACATGATTTTGTCAATTTATGTAGGAGTTATGCACACCTGAGAATCACCTTGATTAACAGCAATTGACCACTGACAATAACATAATCATATGGAGACGCACAACAGGATTATAGCCAATGAAATTTAAACTTATATATGTGTATGTGTTTCTATAGTTAAGACAATTAAAATGAAAGCATCTTAATGTCAAACATGGGAACTTGTCTCTACGCGTTCAGAAACAATTAATTCTCAGGTCCATATGTGAAAACAGAAGTATTGTTCCTTCTGTATTAGTAAAATAACCTAGAGAGACATTTTTGATTTTCTGACATCTTCATTATAATGTATGCATGCTGGAATTTTCAGCATGCATACATACTGAAACAGCGACGTCTACGCTGGCTTACTGAAACAGCGACGTCTACGCTGGCTTGGGCACGTTGTGAGAATGGCTGATGGTCGGATTCCAAAGGATCTCCCATATGGAGAATTAGTGCAGGGAAATCGCCCCAGAGGGAGACCACAGCTGCGATACAAGGATATCTGCAAGTGGGATCTGAAGGCCTTAGGAATAGACCTCAACAGATGGGAAACTCTGACATCTGATCGTTCAGCCTGGAGGCAGGCAGTGCATCACGGCCTCTCCCAATTTGAAGAGACCCTTGTCCAGCAGGCTGAGGCAAAGAGGAAGTCACAAAGGAAGCAAAACCAGGGAGCTGGACAGGGGACAGATTGGATTTGTCTCCAGTGTGGAAGGGATTGTCACTCTCGAATTGGCCTCCTCAGCCACACTAGACGCTGTTCCAAGTCCTCCATACAGAGCACGATACCATAGTCTTTCGAGACTGAAGGATGCCTACATTATAATATAGAACTTTTTCTACTAATAATGTGGGTAGTAGTGCTAGAAGTTGTTTTCTTAGTGAAAATTTCTTGTATTAGCTCATTTATCCTTACCACAGATATAGGCAACTTGCAGGGATTGGGAGAGCATACCACCATCCTGCTGGTGGTATCTGGTAAAAAAAAAAAGAGCTTCTAGGATTTTTTATTATTATTCTTTTAGTTCACAGATGATAAAACAGAAAACAACAGAGAAATGGGGAGAGATCAGCCCAGTCTCATCAAGACCCTCCCCGTTTTTCCACACAAACACATACAAAAATATCTAAATTAAATTTAATTATTTTTGTACAGAAGCAGATTTGGTTCATGAAGCAGCCAGTCTCTGTTGACATCCGCTCGAACACCACAGAGGAATCTCTCAAGGACTCTTTCAAGTTACCAAATCCACAGTTCTTATGTATCGATCCATAGTTTGATTGGCTTTTCTTTACATGCAAAAGGCCATGAAAGACTTCGAGAATACAAAAGACTTACATTTTCTTTGTGCCATGGCTTGACTCAAGTGTCACTGAAGGAAGTAATAAGGATTTTAAGAACATTTTTAGTAGCTTGATTGCACTTCTAGTTAGCAGAGTATATGGCAGAGAAACACAGAAACATTGAATGCTCCATCCAGTCTCACCAAACCCTCCCTGGTCTGCACACAAAACTAACCATTGATTATACATGTTTCCACAAGTACAGCTGTCAGAGGAAGCTCTTCCATAATCCAAAACTACCACAAACATTGATCTGCTCCTACTATATTGTGATGGGACCTTGATCAGGGCTTTGTTTTTTGACCTTCGCTCCCCCAATTAATAAACACATCCTGCTTAACTAACTTTTGAATATTTATGACCTGTCTGATGGACTTTTTATATTTTCTAGATCATGAGATTATAGGGATGGAACATCTACCAGAAGGACCAGGGATTATTGTTTTTTATCATGGAACTTTTGATGTTGACTATTTAATGTTGTTCTGTAAATTGTATGTACAACAAAGAAGAATTTGCATTACAGTAACAGAAAAGGGACTGTTCTACGTACCAGGTATTGCATTTTAAATGCAACATTTGCAATTAGAATAATAGAGCATTGCTTTAACCTTATGATGCCATAAAAAGTAGCATTCAGCTAGCTTTGAAACAACAACTTCTGGTTTATCAAATTGTCCACAAGCATGTTCCAACCCAGTATGACAATGTCAAGACAGTGAGACCAGAAAACAGACGTAAGACCAGCTCTGGACAACTGGTATTCTCCAGGTATAAAGACGGACAGGTCAGTTGGCCAAATATGGCCTGGACAGTTTTCCAATCCAGTCTGCACTCCTGTTGTTTTCCATGGGTGAGGGACAAGGAGGAAGTGGGCAATGAAAAAGATTACATTTTAAATGTTTCTTACTGAATTCAGCAGTCGGTTACAAGTGGAAAATTCTTGTTCAGGTGGAAAGACCAGAAATCTGAAAAAGAGCATTTAATAAATTCCACAAAGGCCAGGATCCTGCATGTTCCCTCTGTCCCACACTCTCTTGCAAAACCCTGGGAAGTAAGTGAATGAGGTTTCGTGTTACTGCTGCAGGATCGGAGGGTTGGAGCAGTTGCAAAAAAAAACACTGCTGCCTCTTCCACTTCTCTTATTCCCAAAGACACATCCTTAGGTATATTCCAAAGCTCTCTGGGGAAAAGGACTTCCAAATGTATCTTTGTCTTTCTATTTTGTGACCACTTCCTCTTGCACTGCCCATCTTGCCAATGGCTGGAAATAGGCTATCTAAAAGTTCTATACAGTGGGGTCTTGACTTGAGAACTTAATCCATATTGGAAGGCGGTTCTCAAGTCAAAAAGTCTGTAAGTCAAGTCTCCATTGACCTACAGTGCATTGAAAACCGATTAATCCCGTAACAGGCCGTTTTTGTTCCATATTGGTTTATTTCTGGTCTGTAAGTCAATTCTCAGGCTGCAAGTCAAACCTAAATTTTGCGGCCAGCGAAGTCTGTAACTCAAAAAGTCTGTAAGTCAAGCCATCTGTAAGTCAAGGGTCCACTGTCCAATGTTATCTGCAAAGTATAAGAGGGTGGCACACCACTTGCCAAGGCTGTTATTTGCAAATTTAAAAAAAGATATCCCTGCTTGCAACATGCCTTTATAACAGGAATGAAGTATCTTTTTCAACTGGGTGCTTGCATACCTGGTAGCAAAGCTGAATGTGTAGAAATGCTGAAGAAAGGCTGTTTACTGGGGATCTCACCTGGTGGAGCAAGAGAAGCATTCTTCAGTGATGAAAACTACAATCTCCTCTGGGGTAAACGCAAAGGTTTTGCTCAACTAGCCTTGGAAGCCAAAGTGGTGAGTGGTCACTATGTCTTACTTTTTTTCCCTATAGGTCTATGCAAGACATCATGCCATGCATGTGCATACAAACGCTCTTAGGTTGTGACTACACTGTAAAATACTTCAAAGTGTGTGTCGTAGCTGGCAAGGTTGAAATTGGTTCATTTCTTGGCAACTATACAACATAAAGCTTTTCATGTGGAAGCCAGCACTTTTTTTAGTGCCATTCGTGTGTTTTTCTTCAGACTTCAGGTGGTTGGTTATTTAGTATGGATTTGTTTTCTTCTTAATTATGTACAAAGCCCTCAGCATCTAGAATCGTAATGCTTATGGGAAGGTACTTGGAATGATGCATTAGGACTGGAATTCCTGATGAACAACTAGATCTGCTAAGATTAGGGGAAACAGTGTCTCTCTTTGCCATTTTCCCTTTTGTAAAGGTAAGGGCTTAAGCCCTCTGTTTTCTGTAGAACAAGGTCTGCAAGCACAGTAATGATTCCCAAGCTTCCAATGCTACTTTTGTTTCTCCAATGTACACACTGTGCTACTAATATAGCATGAGACTGGACAATAAGACAGCACTGGAAAAGTCAAATGCAGCAATCCCCGCTTCCCCCCTCTCTGTTTTACATTTTCTAGCACGTGTGATCACCTAGCTTAGTCCAGAGGTGAAACTGTGGGCATATCCCATGGTGATGCTGTTAAAGTTGTCTCCAGTGGGGCACACTATGCCATTACCATAGGATAATCCCCATCAAGGAAACATCAGTTTTCTCTCTTCCAAATTAATTTCTGTTCTTTTAATAGGCCTGTCAAGTGTAGCCCCGTGCCATACAAGGACTGCGTGGCCATATTTTATCTGTGTCAGAGAAGTGCTGTAGTGCTGATTTTACTGACTGTAGTAGTCATACCTGGTCTTTCATTGGGAGAATTGGTCCAGTTACAATAGTTACCTTTTAGTGCCACAGCCTGCACTCTACACTAGACTGAAAAGCTTTAGTGCAGGCTTGTCCAACCCACGGCCCAAGGGCCGCATGCAGCCCAGGTCAGCTTGTAATGCGGCCCAGTGCAATTTCTTATTTTTAAAGAAATTCCAAAGTTTTAAGTTACACTGCCGGCACTTGCGGCCAGAATGTGGTCGGGGCATGTCACAACAATAGAGGGGGAGAGAGGGCAGGAAAGAAGGAGTGGGATGGGAGGGGACAGGGGGGGCTGCATGACTGCATTGCACCATCCCCATCAATAGGTGGACCCCCTCCCAGCCCCATAAAGCTGTCGGAGTTAAAGCTGGCAGCCTCTGCTGTCTGAAATCGCAGCTGCTGGTAAGCGCGCTTGGAGCGGGGCTACGGAGGACAGCTAGGGCTGCCCCCCATGCAGCCCAAACCAAATGTATGTGCGGCTCAAACCAAATGTTCATCTTCTAATGTGGCCCAGGGAAGGTGAAACGTTGGACACCCCTGCTTTAGTGCTATGTTACTGACAAGAAGAAGTGGGGGGAAACAGCCCAAACTGCAAGGATACAATTGTTATCTCTGTGTCCATGAGCCACTGCTCGGATGTATAACTACTGTCTGTCTGTCTGTCTGTCTGTCTGTCTGTCTGTCTGTCTGTCTGTCTGTCTGTCTGTCTGTCTGTCTGTCTGTCTGTCTGTCTGTCTGTCTGTCTGTCTGTCTGTCTGTCTGTCTGTCTGTCTGTCTGTCTGTCTGTCTGTCTGTCTGTCTGTCTGTCTGTCTGTCTGTCTGTCTGTCTGTCTGTCTGTCTGTCTGTCTGTCTGTCTGTCTGTCTGTCTGTCTGTCTGTCTGTCTGTCTGTCTGTCTGTCTGTCTGTCTGTCTGTCTGTCTGTCTGTCTGTCTGTCTGTCTGTCTGTCTGTCTGTCTGTCTGTCTGTCTGTCCGTCTATCTGCCTGCCTGCCTGCCTGCCTCTTACATTTATATTCTGCCCCATTAGTACAATGCACTACTCAGGATTGTTAACAATGAAATAAAAGTGCAGCTGATCCTGCTTCCTTTGTCAGACTCTGGGAGAGGAAGACATGGAGGCGAAGTGCTCTTGCTGTTTCTTGCTGTGCTTGCCCCATGCATGATTTTTCAGTCAGAATCCCAGTCTCAGGTCAGCTCACTTTTCTGTACCCATTCCTCCCCCTGCCCATGCTTCTAGACAACCAGGGAGTTGCCAAATATTCTTCAAGTCCCCCTCCATGCCCCTTCTCTTTGCTTCTCAACCTTAAGGGTGGAAGAGAGGTGCAGCAAAGGTAGACTGAACATGGAAAAAGGCTGATTTGGTTAGTCTCTAAGGCAGGTGGGGGCAGAAAGAAATAAATACATCTTCCTTCCTTATTTCATTCCTCTCTCTCTCTCTCTCCCTCTCTCTCTCCCTCCCTCCCTCCCTCTTTCTCTCTCTCCCTCTCTCTGTCTCTCTCAACTGCCCTCAACCCTTCCTCCCTTCCATAGTTAAGGCAAACAAAGTATCTTATAACTAGAAAGTGCTCATGTGACTTGCAGGTAAAGTCTCATGCCTTTGATTTACCACTGCTTTGCTGGGCATCACAGCTGGCAAGCTACTGGGCTCTCCTGCCCCACATAAATGTCTGACATTAGCATGAGAATGGCCAAATAATTTTCTGTCTAGGGAGTTTCCTGGCAGGAGATGCATGCTCCTTGCCTCCATCGTTCACCAGCTGACCATGTGTGTTTGTTGACTGTGTGATTTTGAGTTACTTTTCATTACTGTTAATTCTGATTCTAAATTTCCCTACAGCTTGTGCAGCTGCTTCAGCAAGTTTCCTAACTAGAGCAAGAGACGCAGTCAGAACTGCCAGAATGTCACTTCAAAAACGGAAGGAAAAAACTGTCCAAACTAAGGGAATGCGAGTGTTATGCTTCCACATAAAGGGGAAGGATGAAGGGAAGAATTGGGGAAGAGTATAGTATTAATAGGATGAGGTTGTGACCACAATGAAAATTGTGGTGATTTGGTGTGGTCTTTATAACCAAGGTAATTAATCATATCCATCTGGATACTATTTTCAGCAGTGGAAACTACACTCGGAAGTCCCTGATCAGTTTAGAAAACTTTGAGACAAATGGTATTTTGCAGTGTAGTCACATCTTTTGATTAGAAAAAAGGATAGTTAAATTTAAAGAGAATAAACTGAAATGCATTCCAGGACTATTAGCTATTGGTTCATTAAGGATGAATATGAACATAATTCAGTTTTAAATAAGAGGAAAAATACTGTAATATAAAATTGTCATTTTTTAATCTTCATATCTGTTAGAAATGTAATTTCTTTCTTTTTTTATTACGTGATCATAGATCCAAGTTAAAATGATACACCAACAGGATAGCAAATAATTATAAAAACATGCACATATGTAGAAAAAGTAGTCAGTTAGATTAATAAGGCCTTTTTATGAGATGTTACAGCAGAAAACAAGAACTTAACTACTGACTCTGTGACTATTTGGTTTATATCTGCCGTTAAAAACTCCAAATACCACATGAATGGCCTTCCAGGACATTTCCTCATAATAGGACAGAGAAGTCATCTCTGTGGAGGCTACATTCAAACAAGACATGGGTCAAAGTTTCAACTACTCCATCTCCACAGGAACACAATTGATCCTCATATGGGGTGCTGCAGTAGTGCCCTTCCAATATTGCTGAATGGAGACAGTTGAATGTGATTTCAGTTCTAGTATAATCTAAAAATTAAAGTATCCTAAGAAAGACATGGTCACGATTAGACATGGGGATGAATAAAAAAATGGATTGCAATATTCATTTAAAAATCACTGATTCGTTAAATATTCATCCCTTCATATTTGTCAGTTCTAGAGACCCCAACAAATACGAAAGATTAATATTGCCCCGTTTTTATTCGTCCCCCCATAGGAAGAGAGGGAAGGCTAGCCTTCCCTTTCTTCCTATGGCATTCCCATTCTGCCTATGGGCCTGCCAATCAGCTGATCAGTGGGCCAATAGGCAACCACCCACCCCCACAGCCTATCCCCATCCCCTTCCTCTCCCTACCTTAGCCACTGCCACCATCCGGCGGCACCGTCATCCATCACCGCTCACTGCAGTGCCTCCACCACTATAGCCTGCAATAAGGGACACTGGTTGCCCTTTGCAAAGATGGCGGCTGTGACTTCATTAGGTTAGGGAAGTTGCAGCTGCCATCTTTTCAAAGGGCAGCCTGGATTCCCTACCCTAAATGAAGCCACAGCCACCACCTTTGCAAAGGGTAGCCAGTTTCCCTTACTGCAGGCCATAGTGGTGGAGACCAGCTGAAGACCACCACTGTGGGGGTGCTGGAAGTGGCGGCGATGGCAGCAACAGCAGTAAGGAGGCAGGGTTGTGGGTGATTATGGAGATGGCAGTGGTGCGGTGGGGTGGCAGGAGGGGGCATGGGCAGGGGCAGCAGGAGCAGTGGGGCAGTGGCGGGTCATCAAGGTTTTTTTAGACAGCCTCTGGCCAGCCTCTGGCTGTCTAACCTCTCCCCCAATCAAAACTGCTTTGTCAGTTCATGGGGGGTAGCTTTGGACTTCATCATTTGTCAACTTTGATGGATCACAAAGCAGGATGAATCACCAAAATGGCTATTTGTCCCCATCTCTAGTCATGATCAACAAATGTAACTTGGCTGAAAGGACCAAGAAGCCCATTTGTCCTTTCTTTGAAATCTCTGTAGTTGTCTGGATAGAATACATGTCTTAAACTAGGGTCCTTTAATTTGCAGTTGAGTTCCAAATACTTGAGTCATTGGTGTAAGGTCATTGGTGTAAGGACCATTTGTGACTATTTGAATACTTCTCAGTTCTCTCTCTCTTTCCTATTAGCCCATTATCCCCATGTTTACACAAAATATTCAAGAAGTATGCAGAGGAGCTGGAAGAAAAGGTAAGTGGTATTTTGTTGTTGTTTTTAAGCAAATTCGTTCCTGTTTTTAACAAATGGGTTCCGTGATGTTGCACTGTCGTTGATGGTTTGCTTTGTAGGCAAGGGTCCCCCAGACCAATTTACAAGGGTTCTGTTTGCAGCAGGGCAATCCAGAGTCAGGGCAGCAACATGCCATTGTCTTCTGTGCATGTCAGCCATCTCTAATGGGCTGTGGGAGCTTTCAGCTTGCTTCAGGCAAAACAAGGTGGATTGGGTGCACAAAGGGAGAAGCCAAGCCTGACAGACCCAAGTGCTTCAATTTTCACTTCATTATGCCACCCGCGTACTTAAAGGCTTCACCAGCTCTTATTTTATAGTTAGAGAAATGAACCAATTTTGTACACAGGAGCAAATCCACCATGAGGGGAACCAGAGATCCAGACCCCTAACACTGGCAGGGATACCCTTGGGGGTCTTGAATTCTGAACCAGTGGTGGTGAGCCTGGCTAGGGAGACCTGCCTCAGTCCTATATATCAAATGGTAATGGCTGCCCTTAGTGAACTTCAGCCAATTTCCTTTGACATCCTCAGGCTTCCCAGCAGTCACCTGGATTGGCAGGTGGGACACCTAATATCCACTCCTCATGCTACACCACTGGTATTCTCCTATAACTAAAAAGTTGTGGCCTTTGTTCTCAATTAATAAACTTTTTCATAAACAGTCAAGTAGTGTGTTTCGCAATGACCAGATAGGCGGGGTATAAATGGAATTATTATTATTATTATTTCAATAGAAAAACATCTGGATCTGGCCTTGGATTTTTCCTATACAGGTATTTAAGTGTTATTCATTTAGAAAGTTTTTGAATAGGAAGCAGTCTTGGGAGTTAACAGCTTGTTCTGGGTAGCTGAATAGGCTTCAAGACAACAGGCATTTTGCCATGAAAAGGAAAGTACACCATTCACATTTCCATGGTGGTTTCCAATATGTATAGTATGTCCTAGAACGAGCTGGAATTTTCAGCATGTATACAATATTGAAACAGCGCCGTCTACGTTGGCTTGGGCACGTCGTGAGAATGGCTGATGGTCGGATTCCAAAAGATCTCCTGTATGGAGAATTAGTGCAGGGAAGCCGCCCCCGAGGGAGACCACAGCTGCGTTACAAGGACATCTGCAAGCGGGATCTGAAGGCCTTAGGAATGGACCTCAACAGATGGGAAACCTTGACGTCTGAGCGTTCAGCCTGGAGGCAGGCGGTGCATCATGGCCTCTCCCAATTTGAAGAGACACTTGTACAGCAGACCGAGGCAAAGAGGCAGTCCCGAAACAAGCAAAACCAGGGAGCTGGACAGGGGACAGATTGGATTTGTCTCCAGTGTGGAAGGGATTGTCACTCTCGAATTGGCCTTCTCAGCCACACAAGACACTGTTCCAAGACCTCCACACAGAGCACGATACCATAGTCTCTCGAGACTGAAGGATGCCTACACACAATAATAATAATAATAGTTGTTGTTGTTGTTGTTGTTGTTGTTGTTGTTGTTGTTGTTGTTGTTGTTGTTGTTGTTGTTGTTATTTCTGAGTTATGGAGGATGAGGGCAGCACACCTGGCTGGCCAGTCTGCATCCACAATTCTCCTGAGTTGGCAGTGTATCTTTTCATGGAAAACGTGCATACAAAGTGTCTACAAATTTACTGCCTGTTTGTTGAACAGAGCATTCATCTGTGGTTGAGGCTGACCATGAAATATGATTCAGGTCTGAAGTCTGCCCTGGATGTTACTTATGCCAGAGCTCACCACAAAAATCCTTTGTGAATCAAAGTGCACAGTGGCTAAGCTACGGTTTCTGTGTGGGGAACAATTAGGAAGCAGATTTTCTTTTCATAAAGGTTTTGTTTTCCTGGTTGTATCTCTCCAGGTATAATAAATGTTCTGCTTAACTGAAAGAAAGGAAAAACAGCAGAAAGCTGCAGTGTTGGTGGACATAAACATCAGAAAGCCAACAAGACACAGCTATTGTGTAACTCAATTGATGTTTATGGTACACCCAGAGTAGACTTCGGTCTAGATGGGCGGGGTATAAATTTCATAAATAAAATAAATTCTGTTTCACAACGAGGCTTGGAAGGTGTCAAACTGTACTCTTGTAAGGAATGTTAATTCCAAGGTTACCCAATTAAAAGGACATGATATTTGTAATTATATGCTGGATACATAATCCTATTGCTAGTACTCATTGTCTTCACTGGATTGTTGCAATCAGGAACATTCATATCCACAATTTTTTTCAGTTTGTATTAGGCTGCATTATCTAAAATAGAAATATTATTTCATTTTCTATATAGGGCTATTGAGATGGTTATATGAGAAAACTCGATTTACATGTATTCCGATCTATGGATATTTTCCTGTTAAATTACGCACATATCTTGGAGAACCCATCCCATATGATCCAAATATTACTGCTGAGAAACTAGCTGAAAAAGTAAGTTAGTTCTTTTAATGGTAATATAAACTGGAATTAATGTTTACTTTTTTAAAAATTAAGCATTTCATTCTTTGCTCTTTTTTGGATACTTATCTCTTCATTTAATTGTCAGACCAAGATAGATGAGCAGATGAAAAAAAGGACAGGCTTTAGTATCTTTCAAAGATCTGTGGAGGTGGAAATTGAAACAGGTACAGGTTCTATTAAAACCAGCCCCTGCCAAAATATCTTCTTTTAAGTAACTATTAAAAGTGCAGGAACCTGCTGTTTTTTTCATTTGGTTTCCTGAAGATAAAACAGTCATTTTGTAGAAATTCATATAAGTATTTATAACAGGAGAGAAAATCCATACATTTGTCCTTCCTTCCTTCCTAAAATATACTAAAACTAAAATATACAGGTAAAGGTAAAGGTTCCCCTTGACAATTTTTGTCCAGTCATGTTCGACTCTAGGGGCGGTGCTCATCCCCGTTTCCAAGCCATAGAGCCAGTGTTTTGTCCGAAAACAATCTTCTGTGGTCACATAGCCAGTGCGACTTAGACACGGAACGCTGTTACCTGCCCACCGAGGTGGTCCCTATTTATCTACTTGCATTTGCATGCTTTCGAACCGCTAGGTTGGTGGGAAAAAATATACAACTTGTCCCTTAAAATGGCCAAAGTGCCAGAGGATCGGAGGATAGCACATGCCACACCGATGTCTAAAAAAGGGAAGGAGGGGGGACCCAGGAAACTACAGGCTAGTTAGCTTAACGTCTGTTCAAGGGAAGATGGTGGAAAACCTCATCCAAAATAAAATCTTAAAACACATAGAAGAACAAGCCTTGCTGTTCCTGTTGTACATTTGAACTTATTAAAAGGCAGGGATGAGGTAATACAATTATAACCCAGTAGTGGGGAAACTCCACAATCAACATTTGGAAGCTGTTCTACACACATAAGACATTTGGGGGTGAACTGAGAAATCAACTGTAATCACTCCTTCTACATAAGGATTAATGGCCTCATGACTTTGTGTAAGACTGCTCTCCACTTTTGATTTGTTTTTATTCTTTATTTTTGTTTTGGTTTTGCTTTTAAATAAATAACTCTAAGATGTGCTTTCCCCCACTTTTTTGTTTTGACAGACGAAGGTTGCAATTGAAAATCTTCGTGATCAATACCAAAAAATACCAGGAAATGTATTAAGAGCTTTATCAGAACGATTTAATAAACATCATAAGGATGACTAGTCTTTTTCTATCATACTATTAATCTTCCATCCTATTGATAGGTCTAGTTAAAATGTTCATAACTTTATAATTAATACAGGCTTAAAACATTGACTAATGTACCCTTATCTTATATTTGGAGTTTAACAAAAATTTACACCAAATAATGACACATGATTTTCTTTAATTTGTTGTCTGTTCAAAATTGAAAACTCTAATAATAAAATTATGACTCATTTTCTTTGTCATTGTGATGACCCTCTTTAATTGATGTGATGCTGTAAATGAAGCAAAGTATTGTCATTTTTGTTTTTGTTTTTGTTGTTGCTGCTGTTGAAAGGGAAATAGCTTGCAGTATGATCTTTCCTACTTTAAAATCTTGGCCACCTGGCAGTTTTTTGAACTGTCTGTGACATCTCCATGTTCTCCATTGCTTTAGGGTTGGTGTGATAATTGCAGGTGGAATGTTGCTAATTACTGCTGGCAGGACCTCCCGTAATCCACAGCAGGTCCATATGCACTGGACATAGAAGCAGTCCTTGCTGCCCTGGAGAGCACTGGGGAAGACTCATCAGCTAGGAAGAGTCTGGTAAAGTAGGTGTAGACCATAGAACTGTTGGCCCCTACTTGCTCATTCATAGTTGCCAGTCCATTCCGCAGTTCCACTCTCCCCTTCTTAAGCCTCCATTGAATACTCTTTCTCTACTTCTTTCCTCGCCTCTCTCTCTTTGCCAGGTTATGTCTCCATGTTCCTCACAGTGTTCCCCTGCTGTACAGTAAATTCCTTGTTCATAATCTCGCTGGGTGGGAAGCTTCTTCTGTGGGAATTTTTCTACCCTTTCCATTCTTCTGCCTTCCTGTGCTCTTTGTTTGAACAGCTGGGTGAAATGTCACTCCTGAGGAAGGAAACCATTCATAGCCTTCCATTTGCCTTCAGCTGGGACCCTCAAGTGGCAGGGAAGATGGTGAGGTTGATTCCTGCTGTAGGCTAGTATATATGCATACACAGGGCTCCTCTGCAGAAAGGATCTCCTCATCATCATATTCCATGGACCAGGATCTCTGATGAAAAAAAATCAACATTAACATGACACAAATATATCTGGAGTGTACAGGTTTGCAGAGGTACCATTGAGTTAACCTAGTGTTGATATCTTTCCTTTGAGTTAACCACTTTAAATGGGATACTGCTCTTGTTCTGTACCAGGTTTTGGGTTTTTTTTTTTGACAAAGAGTTTTCAAGTCGTGATTTTTTTAAATGCTGAATTTTTTATCTGCTTCCCTCATTTAGAATGCTTGCTTGCTTTCTGCATATCGTAATATGTCACAATTTAAATTATGGACGTATGTCAAATATAGATAATGTTCAAACAAATTCAAAATGTTAAAATGATCAAGTTATTTTTGAGCTGATGTGGCCTATTTCAATAACATAATCTCAGCCATTTACTAGAATTTTGGTGGTGCTGAAATTGCATGCACATAAATGCTGCATTGATTGAATTTGTCCACAGTAGAAGAAAATTTATCCTGTATTCAAGTAGCCCCATTTTATTTCATTTGACATCTATTAAATTATTTCCAGATGCTCCAGCCAGAATCCCGGCCTGGTTGGAGATATTCTTCAGCATTCATCCATTCAGCAAGGTGTGTTGTTTTTGCTCTGCCTAGATTTAGCCTATCCCTTTCAGGTTTAATATTTAGAGCTTAAGAGTGTGCAGAGAACATTCCCTCAACTGTAGCTGTCATCTAAGGGATTTGTGCCCACAAACTGGATGGATTTGTTGCTGTGTTACCTTATTTCACTCTTTACTTGCAACTCCTCATCAGACTCCTAGAGAGGCAATGACAACCAAATATTAGCCATTTTGAGTAGATAGTAGATCTCATAAAGCCAATAATACCCCTGAATGATTCATTAAGATCTACATGTTTGCCATGTGCTGATTTACATCACATGGCACTAGCATTTTCTCAGACAGCACTTATGCTTCCAAGTTCTTGCTTTTATACACATTTTGTTGTTGGGTATTCACCCCGGTCTGACCCAGTTTCCAAAGTAACTTATTTCTTGCAACAACTTCTGTTTGATGTTTAGACAATTTTAGACAATGAACCCAATTAAAAATAGCTCATATAAAAGAACAATATTGCTTACTTCGTAAGAGAATTGCTGGCTCCAGCCAGTTTTTTATTATTTGGAAGGAATCCAATCTGTAGGGGCTAAATATAGTTCCTTAGAAAAGATATTTCAAATTGGATAAACAATGTTCTTGTTCTGATACTGGGCAAGCATGGAATAAGCTTGCTAGGAAGAGGTTCACAAAACACACAATGTATTGTTGCAAAGAACTATAGGACAACAAAAGATCACATCTGTTATGAAAGGAGGAAAAAAAGATTTCCTTTAAAGAAAATAATGGAGTGATAGTCCTCTAGAAAGGGGAAGATTTTGATAAGTATCTGTAGAGAATTAGCATTTTGTCAATCATGATCCAATTAGCTGATTGGATTCTTAGCTAACTTTTTAACTCCTTCCTGGCCAAACTGGATTAAGGGATTCATGCTTGGCTGTTTTTTGTTTGTTTGTTTGTTTGTTTTTCTATCTGGTTGTAAAAATGCAGATACAAAAAGAGTATTAAAATTTTAAAACATGGCACAAATTAAAAATATTTATAAAATATATTTTCAAAGAATATAGAGCAAATATTCAGAAGTGTACCTGTTTGAGCTGTGAAACTACTATATTTTTCTTTGTGGCTGGGCATATTCTTACTTGATGTTAGTAGAGCTCTAGTGCCCATATCCTGGTACAGTAGTCTCCATTCCACCCATCTTGTCACTATACAATTGTGTGGTACTTAGAAAAGAAAAACTCCAAAGACGTTATGTGTTGGCTACATGAATTATTGACCTCCAAAATGTTATATCATTAACAGCTTTGGTCAAATCTAACAAATTAAAAGTATCTCATATCTGGTTGGTTTCTCTTTCTGGGATCCTATGGCATGTAGCATGTAATTATACATGATGGCTGTCAGAAATTGTTGATGGAGTTTGTATACTGAAACCTCCATTTCTAAAATGCTGGAAATTCAATTTATGAATATGCGATATTGTGCTTCTCTATCAACAATTGAAAACACCAAGAAATGACCAGATTCTGCTGCAGGAAAAAGGATACCAAACTTTACATAGCAAAGGGCAGCTTGAATGTTGATGACACCAATGCCAGCAATAGATATAAGCACTTCATATTCATATCCCTGGGGACATGAATATGTAGCACAGCAGCACAGGAGCCACAGAAGTCTGTTCCCACCCCACCCCAAACCAGCCAGTCCACTCAACGGTCACTGTGAGACAAGTGTGTCCATCATCATTGACATTGCACCAATTGAGCTGACCACTCAATAACTCAGCAGGAAGACTCCTCATCCCACCTCCTTGCTGGAGTGGTTGGCTGTGTGGGGAAAAGAAGCACCAACTGGGCTACTTCCATGATTGGTATGTTGCCAGTGGCATGCATATGTCTATCAATGATGATGGACACATGCACCACACAGTGACCAGCTGGTTCCAAGGGGAGGGAACAGGTCTCCGTGGCACCTCTGGTGCTGCACCTTGTATTTGTATCCCCAGGGGTACAAATACAAAGTGGCCAAGTCAAGTCAGGATTCAAGATGGTCAAAAGATACCCTCTGTTACTCACTACCATCCACAAAGTGATTCGAAGTTGGGGGGGGGGAATCCCAGGAACTGAGTCTTTTTTAATATTAACCACTTCACCAGTTCTGCTATTGAAAACAAGCAGGCAAAACACAGAGCAGCACAGGGGCAAAACACAGACCAGTAGATCATAGACTCTTCATAGATTTAAACAGGCAAATGGTAATAAACCTAATAAATTTCTCATGTGTCTGGATATGCCAAAGGCAATAATCAATTGTTCAAAGTTATAGTGCTTAAAGTGGCAACTTTATTAAATATAATTTTAATCTCTGCTTTTTGTTATTTTATAATTATACCTTTAAGGCTATATGCCCCTGTATTTTTCGACTGTAATATGATTTATGTTCTAGTTTGTAACTTTTATACCAAGAATCATAAAACTGGATTGGTTTTTCTGAGTAAAATATTTGCCTGCAATTTAAGTTTAATCTTCCTATATATTAAGCATTTCTACCCTCAACTTTTTTTTCTCTATCATGATATCAAAATACTGTGAAATATTCTGCTGCAGGTTCTAGTTCTCAGAGCCATAAACTCAGAAGCCAAGTAGGGGTGCAAGGGAGAGAGACAGGACATGCTCGCCACTGGCATCTGGTGTCAAAGGCGAGGTATGTGAAATGGTAATTTTGAAACAAAAATTACATCCTGTCAAGAGGTAAAGAAACAACTCCCCAGTGAGCACTGAGGTGGCTTAGTGGTTTCCAGGAGCCAGGGAAGATTTGGTGTCATTTGCAAAGGAAAAGTGAAGAATAGGAAAAGGAATCATGTATGATCTGTTTGAGCTGCTTTCCAAGAGAAGGATGTGGCTGGCAAGCAGGAGCTATGTTTAAGAGCACTCGATGATGATGATGATGATGGTGGTGGTGTGTGGAAGAGTTCGTTGCAGGTTCTCATTCCCCTCAGACCATAAGATCAGAAGCCGGCAAGAGACATTTTGAAGTTTTCCACAGCACTGCTTAAGATTATTTTAAAATGCTACTGTGCACTGGTGGTGTTTTAAAAATGGTTAAGATAGTTTAAGCTCTCGTCTTTGCCAGCACATAATCAAACAGATTGGACCAGCCTTCTAAGCTCCTGCAGAATCTTATTACCAAGAGTAGAGTGCTACTTGACTTCTTTTTTGGAGCAGCCTCTGGATGCTGTGGGCCATGTTCTTGATTACTCCATGCAGCAAATTTTCAAATCATTTTTGCCATGCCTTTCTTTTAACAAATGCTGAACTACTAGGGCTGTGGTCTGCATTTCCTCAGACAGCACTTACGCTTCCAAGTTCTTGGAACTTGGAAGCT